CCTAATTTTTACTTCTTAAGCTTGTTTCCCATACTGGGATAGAACATTAATTGGGTACCACTGTATACCTGACAAGGTTATGCTAGAGATAAAAAATGGGAAAAGATACTAGTCCAACCCTTCATTCATTTAAGAAATGTTAAGTAAATGTCTGTGGTATACCAGAAAGCTCTGTTTTTATATATAATAGGAACAGAAGATAACTGCACATTGTGATATGAACTATGAAGGAGTGTCATAGCAAAGTGTCATGAACTGGGTGGCTTAGAATGACAGATATATACTCTCCCTCAGTTTTGAGGATGAGAAGGCCAAAATCAAAGTGTCATTATGGTTGATTCTTTTTCAGGGACTCAGAAGGACCATATGGTCCTTGCCTCTTTCCCAGGTTCTAGTGATTGCTGGTGATCCTTGGTGTTCTTGGGTTGCAGCTAAATAAGTCAAATCGCTCTGCTTCTGTCATCATACAGCCATCTTTCCTCTGTGTCTGCATCTCTTTTCCTTTCTGTGTTTGTTTGTGGTGCTTGGGATGGAACCTCTGGGGTCTTGCGCATGCTAGGCAGGGACTCTACCACTGAGCTACATCCCCTTCCCTCTTCTTATAAAGACAGCGGTCATTTTGGTGTAGACTTGCATTATTTTAGCACAATCTAGTCTTTACTACATCTGCACCAACCCTGTGTATTTCTAAATGAGGTCACAAGATGAGGTTTTGGGAAGAAAATGAATTTGAGAAAATACTATTCAATGCAGTATCCATGCTTCAAGTTCCAAAACATTCAGTTACATTCAGTGTCTGTCATCTTCTCCTTTTTCAAGAATGCTTTGCCAGGCGTGGTGGTGCATGCCTGTAATCCCAGCGCTCAGGAGGCTGAGGCAGGAGGATTGTTGAGAGTTCAAGACCAGCCTGAACTGCATAGCAAGACCCTGTCTTAAAAACAAAGAAAGAAAAAAAGAATGCTTTAATTTGGTTGGACTCTCCCACTCCTGCTATGCCATATATTCAATATCTCTCTCTTTCTGTCTCTCCTTTATCTATCTATCTATCTATCTATCTATCTATCTATCTAAACCATATGTATATAGTATATACATGAAGCACATGATCTAGTAGCTTAATCACATGGAACAATCAGGGCTTCCCCTGTGAGCTACCACTACACCCCTACCAGATTGACAATAATATTAGAGAATGTAATGAAAAACCAACTGTGGTGAGGATGTAGAGTGACAGGAATTGTCACACACTTTTGGTGATGATGGAAACTGGAATAATTACTTTGGGGTAAAGTTTGGCAGTACTGCATGAAGCTGAAAATATGCATGCTCTATTGCCCTCCCTGTTTATATACCCAATAGAAACAGTGTATGCCAGCACGCACTGGGACACACACATAAGAACAAGAAGACTTGTTGGCAATAGATCTAAACTGGAAACACCCCAAATATCCATAATAGAATAAATAAGTTATGGGTAGAATATAATGAAGTACTACATAGCAATAAGCCAGAATGAACTCCAGCCCACACACAACACGGATAAATCTTAAGGCATAATAATAAGCAAAAGAAGCCAAATACCAAAGAATATAGATGTTTGACGCCATTTATATGATGTTCAAAACCAAGCAAAATTAAACCATGTGGTTTAAGGAAGTATAACCAGGAAATACTATTTGTTTATTTTATATTTTTGTAGTGCTGGGACTGAACCTTAAGACTTTACACATGGTAGGCAAGCACGTGTAAGCTCAATGGTAACAGTGAATTATTCTCCTAGACCCAGATCATAATGTAATGAAAGGCAAGAGAATGGGTGACATAAAAGTCATTATCTGCAGGGAGGGTATAGACATGACTTGGCTAAGGACACACAGGGAAGGAGCTTCTGGGGTGCTATGTTGTGCATTTTACCACAATTCATTAAGTTGTGTTTGTGTTTTCAGCACTTTTCTGTATGCTTGCTATATTTCTCACATACATATGGATGAGTACCTGGACATTCAAACCAAAGGAGACAGTCACATTGTAGCCATTTCACTCTGGATACATTCTGAAGGGACAAAATGACTTAAAATCTCTTGTGAAACAAAAAGGGTGCATCTCTCTTTAAGAAATAAATTAGCTTTTAATTGAAGGGAAACTATGAAAAAAATCGCTGGCACCTAAAACACCTTTATTTATGCAGGTGCCATGCTATAAAATAGTCTAATCCGCCTTATTAATGAAGCTGACTTTACAACCTAGTAAACGAAACAAAAGCCTTATGTTTAGCTGATGAACAAGTTGAGGCCCAAATCTAGTCTATTTATGTGGCAGTGTTTGTTTTTTTATTTCTTTCAATCTAGCGTGAAAAAAGATGCTGGCTCTCTGGCTGTGAAATATTTTTATTGCGGGTCTGTCTTCACCTATTTGAAGTGCAAATTTCTATCTTTGGGAAACTTGTGCTAGACAATTGAAGGAGGTACTAATGATAATAGTAATGACTTACACAGAGTTCCAATCAAGATTCAAATATTATTTTAGGCAGTTTGTAGGTATTAAAACATTTTGATGTCACTCTCATCTTTGGGTAAGCCATTATCATCTTCTGTAAAGAATTTCTTTATTTTTCAATGCAGATATTATAGGCTTATATCGTAGCTTTCCTGCCCCAGTCCTGCAGTCTCTGTCATTTTTCCAAGGAGTACTAGTGTGTTTGGTAGAGAATAGTTAGAAGCTAAAATCTAGGTTTACTTATTATAACTGTGTGCCACTGCTTTTAGGCTCTGTTTACAGAATCAAGAAATATGTACATATATTCACACATACATACATACATGAGCACACATATGTATCTACTTTTTTTTCTTGAGACAGTCTTTCCCTGTAATCTAATCTGAACTTGCTGTGTAGCTCAGGTGGGCATCTCATTTGAAATCCTCCTGCCTCAGCTTCTTAAGTACTGAAATTAGAGGCCTGGGCTGCTACACCTGACTTCCATTCTTATATTTATCTCTATTATAGCAAATACTATGAAGTTATACTGACAACTTCAATACCAATTCAACCATACAGAGTTTGTTCAAGCTTTCCTCATTTCCTGTTTGTAATTCCAGCATTGAGAAATCTTTTTAAAATCACTTTGAATGTGACTAATTTATAATGAATATATTGCTTTTTTAATAGTCCCATTTTATTGATTTTTGTTCTCTAAGAACTCTAAAATCGTCAGAATTTTCATTCGTTTTCCTCATCCTATCAAAAAATATTCATCAAGCAAGTACTATGTATCAGATAATGTTCTAGGGCTGCAGGTAGAGTAGTGAACAAATATCGTACTTGGAGAGGAGTGCTGGAGAGAAGAAAGGATACAAAGCTAGGAAATGGCAAAGCTGGGATATGAACCCAGACAGCCTGACTCCAGAACTCAGGCTATACCACTTGCCTCCTACAAAAGTTTACAGCTCTCTTGAATCCAATAAAAAAGGTTTCTGTCGGTTTCTAAATCTACATAGTGCAGAGCTTTGTGCATCTTCCACACTGCCTAACTTCTCTGAGACTCAGTATTCCAATCTATAAAACTGGAGATACAAATCTTAACATGCTGAGAGGATGTGTGGAATAAAGTAAGGTGCCTAGTGCTATGTGGGACACATCATAGGAATCCAATGAAGTAATTTTCCTTTTCTTTTTCAACACAAATGCTACACTATGGGCCGGGTGTGGTGGCATATGCCTGTAATCCCAGCACTTGGGAGGCTGAGGCAGGGGGATTGTCACAAGTTTGAGACCAGCCTGGGCTACAAAGTGAGCTCAAGTGCAGCCTGAATTGCACAGCAAGACCTTGTCTCAAAAAGACAAAAAGCAAAACAAAACAAAAAACCCCCATACTATGTAGTTTCCCCAGAATAGAATTTTTTCCTTTTCTACTTAATTTAATCATGTACTCATGCATTCAGTCATTTTTACATCCATTCAATTCAGTTCAACATGGAAGATCATACTGCCCAAGGTATTGGGCTCTGAACTTGGAGGGTGCAGATGCAGAAAGGGCAGCTCAGGTCCTTAAGAAACTTCTAGTTTTACTGGTTATTAATCTATAACAATGGGTTTCAATAGCAGGTAGCGAACACTCTGGGGTGGGTAAGCTTGCGAGATAATGGGGGTAGGGGCAACTCTAAAATCTGTTAGAGTAGGTTCCTACATGAGTACAGCATTGAAGCTGAGCTATATCTTGTACATGAATTAGAGTCACTGACAGCTTACCAGAGGAATGAAATGGTCAAATTTATATTTGTTAGTAGGGTGAAGAATGGGGAAGACTAGAATCAGTGATGCTAGCAAGGAGACCATAGATGTGAATAGATCTGAGGTAGACCTCTTTGATCAGGAGATATAACTTGGCAATAATTGCCAGTTACTTAGAGAAACTGTATAGAATGACAAGTGGATTGCAGGAACCCTGAGAACCAACACTCTTTAAACAGGTGACAGAAAAATAAATAAGTAAAGCAAGCAATCGTTGAAATCAAGAGTAGAATCAGAAGAGAGCTAGGAAAGGGTGATGTCACAAGAGTTAAGATGAACAGAGAACAGGAAAGATGAGAGAGGAATAATTGGCAGATGCTGTACAAAGCTCACAAAAACTTCCACTTGATTTGGCAGTAGGTGACTTCTGCCAGAGCAGTTTCTGTGCTAGTGTCGGGGCAGGAACTCCGCTGTAATAAATGAGTGAATGAATGAATGAATGAATGAGTAGAAATAGTGAAGAAATCTCTCTCTTCCCCTGGAGTTGGTGCAGAGGAACAGCCTTCTGGACTGGGGTCTGGATGCCACCTAGGAAACTGCCAGCCACACCACCCTTAAGCGCAGCTCCAAGGTCAGGGTCACCCCAGGCCTCCAGGCAACCTGTCACTTTGACTACCAAAAGAAAAAACCGGAAGAGGCTGAAGCCGATGGATCATCTCGCGATATCTGGAGCGCCGGCGGCCGCGCCGGCTTTCCGGGCCTGCAACCTTGGCCTGTTCTCGCGAGACTTGCCAAGAATCGAGGTGCGCGGGGGGCCGGCCGTGAGGAAAGCCGGAGCTGCGGGTAGGGAACATGTCGGAGTCTGACCTCGGCAGGAAGTGGGACCGGTGCTTGGCGGATGCAGTCGTGAAGATCGGTAAGGGCTTCTCGTCCCTGAGAAGCGGGGCCCGTAGCCGAGCAGTCCGGAGGGCGCCGGGGTCCGGCTGCGCGGCCTGCTCCAGCGCCGGCGGCCAGGGCGAGCCGGGCACGA